GAAATCAGAGTTGCGGCAGGTTGAGACCGCGCGTCTGGCCGCCGCGCGCTCAGTGTCGCGGGCACTTCCAACGGCCGCTGGCAGCACAGCAGCGGGCCGCACACCGACAACCTAGTTCCGGGGCCGCTGCCTCCCGGGAGACTCCGCGCACAGTCTCCCGGAGCAGATCGTGCGGTGAACCGTCGCCCCCGACCCCCTCCGGATCTGCTCGCACCGACCAGGACTGCCTGCACCCTCGGGAGGCGACCCTGGCCGACGCCCGGCCCCCGGGCAGAAGTGAGCCTCGGCGACCGCCGGTGAGTGAGTGTGTAACCCAGGCTGCCTCTCCACCTGTGAGTCTGTCCCACCCTCAACCTGAGTTCCCTCCAGCTCGTGCTGGTGTTGGGCTCGGAAGACTTAAAGGGTGCGAGGATAACCTAGGGCACCCCCTTAAGCTGATGTCCAGAGGACCAAACGGTACGTGTAGCAATCCAGGAGGGGATCGGATCGCAGAGCTCTGCCATCCGCGCCAACTTCTTTAGGGTGGGGCTGCAGGCAGCAGGGTCCCCTCCGAGTTAATGACAGCCATTCTGGGCGCCTTTGCGTTTTTCCAACAGAACAAACCGCACTTGGCTACCGCGCCCCTTTAGTGGTGAGTGGTGTTTGCACCAGGGCGGCGCATGTGGGTGCCCAGCGCAGCTCTGCTGTTTCTTTGCTGACAGAGGCAGCGCATTGTAACTGAGGCTCCAACCTGCAGATATGGCAGTTGAATTTTTCTTTTCCTTTTTTGACTGCGGTTTCAGTGTTTGCAAGATCTTTCTTCCTCCTCCCTCTTTTTCTCTTCCTCATCTTCCTCACTAAGTGTCTTGACACAGACATGTGAGGACGAATGGATATGGCCAGTCATTTTTTTCTTTATGAATTATTATACTCCACCCCCCTCTCGCCTTTGGGAGGGGAAGGCATGTGTTTCATCTTATAAATAGAAAGTAGCATACTTTTTGGCAGGACCTGTTTTATACTGCACCGTCTAGGAGAGGTCAGTTTAAAAATAAATATGCACTTGAATGTTACATTACCGAGCCGGCTGTGGCACGGACGAGCTGCGCAGACAACAGCATCAAAGGTGGGAGGACATCTGTGTTGAAAGGAGTAAAAGCCCCAGAGTGTAGCCCAGGCTGACAGTCAAGTAACTACATTGTGTTTTTTTTTTTTTTTTTTAAAAAAAAGTGAGCGAATTAAAACGAGAGTGGGAAGAGGAATGTCAGTCCTGGACTGGAACAGGAGTCTCTGCAGTCTTGGTGTGTTTGGGGAGCGAGCTGCTGCTGTTGTGTGCAATGTGTGGGGGGCTCTAGGGAGGGAACTGATGGATGTGTTAGGAAGAGAAGATTTTTTTTTCTTTTCCCCCACCCTGGCAGCGTGTAGCCCTTGCAAAAGTCCTCGAGTTCTGGGAGGGGGATGGAGGAGGGGCACTGGCCTTGAAAATATTAGGAGGGTAGCAGATGTCCCTGCTTTAATAGCAGAGGAGACTTAGGACTTGCCTTTAACATCACAGGGAGAAGCAAACCTCCCCAGGAAACTGCCAGCATGCCCCAGGGGTATCTCTTAAGTTCATTAGAAGACTCCAGCAATGTTCCGACTTATAAAAAGATCTTTCATCTAAAAACCAAACTAGGAAACCCAACTTCTGGACTGTTCTAGAAATCTTCACCATTGTAGTTTGATGAACAGTTCAGATATAAGTATACACAAACACCTTTTTCAGAATGAAGGACTCAGACGTGAGGCAGTTGTGACATATCTAGCTAGCATTGTCAGGTGTGAAATAAACGAGAAAATCTATATTCAAGGAATGGTTGACGGTCCCTCTGGATGTGCCTGGGTTTCCCAATAGCCCCACCTATGGCATGAAACCTTGGGCTGGCAGATAGAATGTTTAGAGGGGAGCTCTGGAAGCCTTCTGGGTCCATGGCAGTTTCTGTTTTCCAGCCGTCTCATCTGCTAAAGATTTGCATTCTGAATTCCTCGATTAGAACATGGTGCTGAGGCTGTGGCAGCCCCTGAAGACATGAAGTAAGATGAGCTCCCTCCCACCCCGCTAATCTGAGTCCTGAAATTCTGCCTTGCTTTCGCAGGGGACCTAGGAAGGCAGCTAGAGTAAAGTACGGCTCGTTTTCTTTTTGCTTTTTATTGCGAACTCAAATGGGATCCAGGACGCATAGAAAGCTGGACCAGGGACTGCAGAACGGCTCCCCAAGCCGGTTGGCCCTGTCTGCTCTCCAGCTTCCCCTTTAGCAAGGTGTTTTGTTTTATGTCTGACATGTTCACAAAAGCTGCCCTTTTCCACTTGTAAAATTCCTGCTATCCAATAGCTTTGGGGATAAAATCGCTTTAACCTATATCACCCTACAGTTTTTAGCCAAGCTGTAAAGTTTTCACAAGCTCTTTGCCCATTAGATGTAGCATTTATCCAATGGGTGGAATACAATTCCTGACCTAAAAAGCCCCCAGGAATACTGTGCTGAATTATTATTAGTGGTAGTAGTAGTATCATTATTATTATTATTATTATTATTATGGCTCTTGCTTCAGTCTGATTTCATATTGGCTCAGTCTATTTTCTTTCTAACTAGAATCCCACAGACCTGTTTTTCTTTTCATTGAATAAGAACATAAAATTGTATTTTTAAACACACCATGTTTCCTGTAGACAAAGTTGAACCATTTGAGACTAGCAGCAGATTTTGTCAGAAACAAAATCTCTTCAGGGTGCAGGTCAGAGAATTCTAACAGGCCGTGTTGTGGGAACATCAAAGGTAATTCCAGCATAAAACCTGCTCTAAGCTAAGCTAAGCTCTCTTCCCGTTGCCTGCATTACCTCCTTTATTTCTAAATCATTCCAGAAAGAAGGTGTGTTAGATCCGCATTGTAGTGTAGGTGTAGTGACTGAAAACAGGCCAGTTAGCTGCTTGCCCCAATGCCCACAACTAAACAGTAAAGAGTGTACCTAAATAGGGGTGTGCCTGAGGGGCTAAGTCTACGTAGAAGTTGGTGCCTTTTTGAGTTTAGGGACTGGGAAAGCCTGAAGTTATTAACTTGGTGTCAGTCTGCCTAGGCACATTGCTTGGATCTTGCATACTGTGCTTGTGGAATGCTGGACAAATGACTTGTCTTAGATGATGCTCTCATATAACTCCGTGGCCAGTCTTTTCGATTGGTGGGGTACTTAGTCTCCAGATGAGAACTTAGGCGCTGAAGGGTTCTGTAATTTGGTCAAGGTTACACAGCTAAGCAGAAGAACAGGGTTTGAACTCAGGTATGTTTGACCTAGTACTGAAGAACACACCTCCATTGTCTGGGAGGAAGGGTCGGGGAGCTATTAAATATGATTACTGCTATGGCTTTTGGCCTCTGGATAGGAGCTCATTTTATATTATTCTATCTCACCATATCACCACTCAGAGGAAGTAATTGCCAGCCTTAGGGAATACGACTTGAATTACTTAATTATTAAGGGTGGCTCAGTCTTGCATGTGGTGACTTTGTTCGGCAGAACTAGCATGGAACTGCTAGAATTGGTCTAAGCAATTTATACTATAACCAGAGAGATGCACTAGGTGACAATATGGGACTCTGACCCCAGACAGTCACGCCCCAGCTACGAACAAGGCATTCCAACACCCAGAAATGAACCCCCCCCCCCCCCCGCACGTAGGCCATGTCCTTGGATCAGTCAGAAGTAACAGGGCTAAAGAACCAGGCCTGGTAAGACATTATACCCAGGAGGCCTGGCTTGCAGCCCCTGGCCCTCAGTGGATATTCAGAGCCTTACCCTGAGAGGTCCAGAGTAGTCAGGAACTACAGGAGGTTGGACAGGAAAGCCCTGAACTCTGTCCTTGGCAGAAGGGGCCTGTGACAGCGGTGCACACGCCCTGGATGCTGCTGACAGTTGTCTGGTGTGAAAGATAGAGTGAAGAGGCCTAATGTACCCTTGCTCAGGACAGTCCTAGCCCCTGCTGCTCATCGGAAGTCGGTTCCCAGGACAAGGTCTGGAAATTGCCCCGGAGTTGGGGCTGTCCAACTTGATCTGAATTTTCTCTCTTCCTGCTCTCTTCCTTTAAAGACGACAAAACAAAACAACATCCTGAAAACTATGACAAGAAACTAGCCAAATTTACAGCAAGTAGCAGCTAATCAGGGAAGGGTTTTTGTTGTTTTCTCTTAAAAAAAAATAATGTTTTCTTTGGCCTCAGTGTACTTCAGTGACAACTTTTGCCAGAGTGGAGTGACAACAGCGAGTGACAGGGCTCTGGTGGAAAAGCAGCTTTTAAGTCTGACTGGATGGCTGTATAATAGAAACAGGAAAATGACGGTTATTGTGTTGTGGTTTGGTTTTGCTTCTTGTCTTGATTTTGATTTTTGTTTTCTCATTTTTCCTCTTTCTTTCTTTCTTTCTTTCTTTCTTTCTTTCTTTCTTTCTTTTTCGAGATAGGGTCTCATAGCTTAGGCAGGCCTCAAACTCCCCAGCTGCTGCTGCTGTTCTTGTTCTTCTTGTTCTTCTTCTTCCTCTTCTTCCTCTTCTTCCTCCTCCTCCTCCCCCCTCCCCCTCCTCCTTCTCCTTCACCTTCTCCTTCTTTTAGAGACAGGGTTTCTCTGTAGCTTTGGAGCCTGTCCTGGAACTCGCTCTGTAGACCAGACTGGCCCCGAACTCACAGAGATCTGCCTGTCTCTGCCTCCTGAGTGCTGGGATCAAAGTCGTGCAACCACCATTGCCCTACTTGTCTTGATTTTTGAAGTAGGGCTTTTATAACCCAGGCTGATCTTGAATGCTTAATCCTTCTGCCTCAGCCTCCTGAATCCTGAAATTATATGCAAGTCCCCCAGTACCCAGCAGCCTCCACCCTGTCACCCCAATAAAAGACAACTCCTAAGAAGCCAAACTATTTATGGAAGCTGATGAGTCCCACCATGAGTTTGTATGGCTGTTACTGCTGGCCTAAATGATTAGTTCACAATAGAACTCTGAAGCGGGGAGTTAAAAACAAAAGATATTTTGTGATTTGAAATCTGTTTGCATGTTTCAGAAAGTTAGGACTGGCCTTCCAGCCTTGGGCTCTTTATTAAACAGCATTGCAATGGTCACATTCCTACAGTGACCCGATGGGGTGACGCATAAAGCATTCCTGAAGACTCAGAAAGCTCAGGAAGAGCTCTGTGGTAAGCCATTTGATGATGTCCTCTTCCTGCCGGATGCTGCAGAGTCCCTGCTACACAGGTGTGCAGTGCCCCTCTCTGTGGAGAGAGAACCCCTCCTCCG